AACGATGTTTTATAATGAGTTATCGATATAACATGTTAAGTCAACGATATTTTATACTGAGTCATCGATATAACATGTTGAGTTAACGATATTTTATACCGACTCATCGTATTACCATGTTGAGTCAACGATATACTATGTGGAGTGATCGGGTTTTATGTTGAATCAATGATATATTATCTGGAGCAATCAGTGTATTATGATGAGTCATTTATGCATTATGTTGAGTCATTGATATGTTTTGTCGAGTCAATTATATATTATGTTGAGTCATTGGTACATTATGTTGAACAAATGATATATTATGTTAACTTAACAGTATTTCATGTTGAGTCAACGATATATCAAGATGAACCAAATGTGACTAACGTGCAATCAATTAATGACAAGAAATAGCGTGTACTTTCAGACTAAATGTCTGAACGATCTGTCCCAAACCGGTGAAATTCTCAGTTGAGGAAAAGAACTTTCAAATCTGGAGAAATAAATATGACCACAACAGCGCGGGGATGAAGGTCAGCCACGATATGGTCTACTTTGACAAGGTGGGTCGTTCGTTGCTGTAGCATCACTTGAATGGATTATTCTGTCTTGTTACGTATCATCACCTACATACATGACGTTTTTAACAATCACCTTTAGATGTTACCTTTAGATGTTAGTTTTCATAACCTCTTTATATAAAATCTCGAATGTCTGTGCATATTGAGTGTTTACACCAAATGTCTATGCGTGGTCAATGTTCAAATAAAGTGTCTATGTCTGTTCAATGTTCACATGAAGTGTCTATGCCTGGTCAATGTTCACATAAAGTGTCTATGCCTGTTCAATGTTGACATGAAGTGTCTATGCCTGGTCAATGTTAACATGAAGTGTCTATGCCTGGTCAATGTTGACATGAAGTGTCTATGCCTGGTCAATGTTGACATGAAGTGTCTATGCCTGGTCAATGTTGACATGAAGTGTCTATGCCTGATCAATGTTGACATGAAGTGTCTATGCCTGGTCAATGTTGACATAATGTGTCTATGCCTGATCAATGTTCACATGAAGTGTCTATGCCTGGTCAATGTTGACATGAAGTGTCTATGCCTGGTCAATGTTCACACGAAGTGTCTATGCCTAGTCAATGTTGACATGAAGTGTCTATGCCTCTTCACCACAGAGCTCGCTACAGAAGCTAGAAGCCCAGTTGGCGGACGTGCAGAAAGTCTACACGGGCGGGCTCACACACAGCACGGTTCAGGTCAGTCCATCATGTGATCACACACACAGACATACACACACACATACACACACATACAAACACAGACATACACACACATACACACACATACACACACACAGACATACACAGCAACAGACAAAAAGTTAACTAGCTAAACTGACTGACACACACACCCACACACACACTGTTTCACACACAGCACGGTTCAGGTCAGTCGATCATGTAATCACACACAGCACGGTTCAGGTCAGTTCATCATGTGATCACACACACAGACATACACACACACATACACACACACAGACACACACAGCAACAGACAAATAGTTAACTAGCTAAACTGACTGACACACACACACACACTGTTTCACACACACACTGTCACATAAACACAAGTACACATAGGCAAATATATTTGTTGTTCTGTAAATTTAAGGAGTCTTGTCCACACACACACATACATATATAGTTGTGGTTGTGTAAAGTTAAGGAACCTTGTCCACACAGAGACATATATAGAGCTGGGGATTACCAGTTCAAGTTTGCCCGATATTTTTGAGTATCGCCACAAGATTTATTAGTTTCCTTAAAACCTAATGAGTGGAGACATATATAGTTGTGGTTGTGTAAAGTTAAGAACTCTTGTCCAGACATAGGCATATATAGTTGTGGTTGTGTAAAGTTAAGGACTCTTGTCCACACACAGACATATATATAGTTGTGGTTGTGTAGAGTTAAGAACTCTTGTCCACACATAGACATATATAGTTGTGGTTGTGTAAAGTTAGGGAACCTTGTCCACACATAGACATATATATAGTTGTGGTTGTGTAAAGTTAAGGACTCTTGTCCACACACAGACAAATATATAGTTGTGGTTGTGTAAAGTTAAGGAACCTTGTCCACACATAGGCATATACGGTTGTGGTTGTGTAAAGTTAAGGAACCTTGTCCACACATAGACATATTGTGGTTGTGTAAAGTTAAGAACTCTTGTCCACACATAGACATATATAGTTGTGGTTGTGTAAAGTTAAGGAACCTTGTCCACACATAGACATATATAGTTGTGGTTGTGTAAAGTTAAGGACTCTTGTCCACACATAGACATATATATATAGTTGTGGTTGTGTAAAGTTAAGGAACCTTGTCCACACACAGATATATATAGTTGTGGTTGTGTAAAGTTAAGGACTCTTGTCCACACATAGACATATATATAGTTGTGGTTGTGTAAAGTTAAGAAACCTTGTCCACACATAGACATATTTATAGTTGTGGTTGTGTAAAGTTAAGGAACCTTGTCCACACATAGACATATATAGTTGTGTTTGTGTAAAGTTAAGGAAAATTGTCCACACATAGACATATATAGTTGTGGTTGTGTAAAGTTAAGGACTCTTGTCCACACATAGACATATATATAGTTGTGGTTGTGTCAAGTTAAGGAACCTTGTCCACACACAGATATATATAGTTGTGGTTGTGTAAAGTTAAGAACTCTTGTCCACACATAAACATATATATAGTTGTGGTTGTGTAAAGCTAAGGACTCTTGTCCACACACAAATATATATAGTTGTGGTTGTGTAAAGTTAAGAACTCTTGTCCAGACATAGGCATATATAGTTGTGGTTGTGTAAAGTTAAGGACTCTTGTCCACACACAGACATATATATAGTTGTGGTTGTGTAAAGTTAAGAACTCTTGTCCACACATAGATATATATAGTTGTGGTTGTGTAAAGTTAAGAACTCTTGTCCACACATAGATATATATGGTTGTGGTTGTGTAAAGTTAAGGAACCTTGTCCACACATAGACATATATATAGTTTTGGTTGTGTAAAGTTAAGGACTCTTGTCCACACATAGACATATGTATAGTTGTGGTTGTGTAAAGTTAAGGAACCTTGTCCACACATAGACATATTTAGTTGTGGTTGTGTAAAGTTAAGGACTCTTGTCCACACACAGACATATATATAGTTGTGGTTGTGTAAAGTTAAGGAACCTTGTCCACACATAGGCATATAAGGTTGTGGTTGTGTAAAGTTAAGGAACCTTGTCCACACATAGACATATATAGTTGTGGTTGTGTAAAGTTAAGGACTCTTGTCCACACACAGACATATATATATATAGTTGTGGTTGTGTAAAGTTAAGGAACCTTGTCCACACATAGGCATATATAGTTGTGGTTGTGTAAAGTTAAGGAACATTGTCCACACACAGACATATATATAGTTGTGGTTGTGTAAAGTTAAGGACTCTTGTCCACACACAGACATATATATAGTTGTGGTTGTGTAAAGTTAAGGACTCTTGTCCACACACAGACATATATATGGTTGTGGTTGTGTAAAGTTAAGGACTCTTGTCCACACATAGACATATATATGGTTGTGGTTGTGTAAAGTTAAGGAACCTTGTCCACACATAGACATATATATAGTTGTGGTTGTGTAAAGTTAAGGACTCTTGTCCACACATAGACATATATAGTTGTGGTTGTGTAAAGTTAAGGAACCTTGTCCACACATAGACATATATAGTTGTGGTTGTGTAAAGTTAAGGAACCTTGTCCACACACAGACATATATATAGTTGTGGTTGTGTAAAGTTAAGGAACCTTGTCCACACATAGGCATATACGGTTGTGGTTGTGTAAAGTTAAGGAACCTTGTCCACACACAGACATATATATAGTTGTGGTTGTGTAAAGTTAAGGAACCTTGTCCACACACAGACATATATAGTTGTGGTTGTGTAAAGTTAAGGATCTTGTCCACACACAGACATATATATAGTTGTAGTTGTGTAAAGTTAAGGAACCTTGTCCACACATAGGCATATATAGTTGTGGTTGTGTAAAGTTAAGGACTCTTGTCCACACATAGACATATATATAGTTGTGGTTGTGTAAAGTTAAGAACTCTTGTCCACACATAGACATATATAGTTGTAGTTGTGTAAAGTTAAGGAACCTTGTCCACACATAGACATATATATAGTTGTGGTTGTGTAAAGTTAAGGAACATTGTCCACACATAGACATATATATAGTTGTGGTTGTGTAAAGTTAAGAACTCTTGTCCACACATAGACATATATAGTTGTGGTTGTGTAAAGTTAAAGAACCTTGTCCACACATAGACATATATAGTTGTGGTTGTGTAAAGTTAAGAACTCTTGTCCACACATAGACATATATAGTTGTGGTTGTGTAAAGTTAAGGAACCTTGTCCACACATAGACATATATATAGTTGTGGTTGTGTAAAGTTAAGGAACATTGTCCACACACAGACATATATATAGTTGTGGTTGTGTAAAGTTAAGGATCTTGTCCACACACAGACATATATATAGTTGTGGTTCTGTAAAGTTAAGGAACCTTGTCCACACACAGACATATGTATAGTTGTGGTTGTGTAAAGTTAAGGAACCTTGTCCACACACAGACATATATAGTTGTGGTTGTGTAAAGTTAAGGAACCTTGTCCACATCTTCAGGCGTACTGGGCATATTCATCTAGACCAAGATTTTATAGACCAACTGGCCCTCGGTGGGTGACGTGGTCAACACCACGCCGGCCGCCTTTACTTTCTACGACTTCACCTGGTACCTATTTAAGACAGGGTCAACCTGGGACCCCACATTTTAGTTCTGTGGGTAGGGAGATTAGGTGTCTGTTTTGATTCCTCTCTACTGTCTACACACAACACTGACGTTGAGATCAACAATTGGACCAACGGCGATGATTTTTTTCAGAATGCTGTTCAAAGACTACAGCAGAAGGCTAGCGGAAGCAGCGGCGGCTACAGGAGTATTTTTCAGGTGGGAACACTTGCTTGCCACTAGAGTGAGCTTGGTTGTAATACTTTCCTTCTTGCTACCACACGCACACAAACACACACACGCACTTACGGGCGCGCAAACACAAATCACCAACTGATGGGACAGAGGGAGTATTTTCTGTACTGCCACACACACACACACACACACACATACATGCACTTACACATATACGCACATACCTAAACACACCCGCAGGAGCAAATATATAATGCACGCTAGCGCACGCACACAACAGACAGGAGCGAGCGAACACTTTCAGTGCTGTTTTGAACACAGCAGTCTGTTTGCCTATGTGTGTGTGTGTGGGGGAGGGGGGGGAGAGGGGGGAGATAGACAGACGGAAAAAGACAGAAATATATAAAAGAAAAGAGAGAAAGAAAGAAAGAAAGAAAGAAAGAAAGAAAGAAAGAAAGAAAGAAAGAAAGAAAGAAAGAAAGAAAGAAAGAAAGAAAGAAAGAAAGAAAGAAAGAAAGAAAGAAAGAAAGAAAGAAAGAAAGAAAGAAGGAAAGAAAGAAAGAAAGAAAGAAAGAAAGAAAGAAAGACAGTGAGCGCGCGCGAAAAAGAGAGCGCACGCTAAAGAGAAAGCGCGCGAAAGAGAGAGAGAGAGAGAGAGAGAGAGAGAGAGAGAGAGAGAGAGAGAGAGAGAGAGAGTTTTGTGTGTGAGAGAGAGATGCTATGTGAGTTTAAAACACACTCTATCGTACTGCCATCTGTTCGTGTTTTATGTTATTTGTTAGCTAATATTTGAGACAAATATTTGCCATTTAACATGGAAAAAAAAAACAAATGTTTTGCACAAATTCCTGTTTCAAATGCAAAAAAAAAAAAAAAAAAAAAAAAAAAAAGATGAAGAAGGTGGTATAATGCTGGGCACAATCTGACACGAAATGAGCAAACGATTATAAAACAGACACTAAAATGGGAAACAAACAGTCTGGAAAAGAAGAGAACATCCAATAGAAACAAGAAGAATATTTTAAGGAGAAGTTAAAATCGCTGGGCTGAACTCCATGTCAGAAATCGAGTTTCCTGCACGAGAGCGGGGTGGAGGGTCGAATGCGAGCTTTATGTGACGTCTAACGGCACACGAAGGATGATGATGAATATGGAGACAGGAAGTTCTTTGTTTACATGAAATTACTCTCACACACACACACTCAGACATACTCAATCACTCACTCAAATATATTATACACATATATTTTATTGAATTATATATATATATATATATATATATATATATATATATACACCACACACACACACACACATATATATATATATATATATATATATATAATATATATATATATATATATATATATATATATATATATATATATATATATATATATATATATACATATATATATAATGCTATTTTTCCCACCAGAGTGCTTTAAAAAATTTGGAGGATCACGTTATCGATGTTCAGAGCTGTCCAGGAAACAAATATCAAAGGGGTAATCTTCAGGTAATTGGCGTAGGAGTGTGTGCCGCGGGGAATTCTGGCAAAGTACAGCCGACACCTGGCGGCGCATGTTGTTTGTTTGTTTGTGGCTGGATTTGTTTCATAAATATAGAAATTTATCTTGTTGTTTTGATGATGACGGTATAAAAACAAAAGTCTAGGATATTTGTTTTCCATAAAAGTGACATTAGCTTAAGTTTGTGTCTGTTTAAAAAAAAGATAAAGGACCATGTCCTGCCTTTATATAGTGGGTATATAGGGCTAGACCTATATTTAAAGGACCCACGGTGGGGGATGTGGTCAGCCTCACACCAGCCGCCTCTACTTTCCATGACTTTTCCTTACTTTACTTACTTTTACTTTTTCCTTCCACGTATGCCGCTAAGCGTTGTGGGGAGATGCAAGTTCCTGTCATAAGCAAGGCGGGCAGCATCTGATGTTCTGAGGCCATGCTTTTGGCAGGTTTCGGAGACCCCGTCAATCCACCGTTTCCTTGGTCTTCCTCTTGCCTTATATCCTGAGCTTCTTTGGTTGAAAATTTGTGATGTTATTTGGTCATTTTTCATCCTGGTTAGATGTCCAAACCATTTCATTCTTTGATGTTCTATGTAGTCTAAACATGGTGTAGTTTTGACAGTGTTTCTAATGTCTATGTTCTTTATCCTGTCTAGTCTGGTCTTATTCGCTGCTTTTCTTACACATTTCATTTCACAGGCTTCTATTTTTCTTTCATGGGTCTTGTTGATTGTCCATGTCTGGCACTGGTAGCAGAGTGTTGGAATGAAGATGGTGTTTATCAATTGTCTTTTGGTCTTCATGGTTATATCTGGATGTTTAAGCAGAGGTGATAGTTGGTATGTGACAGCATTTGCTTTCTGTATTCTTTGTTTCTATCTCTCTGTCCATTCTTCCATCCTCTGTAAATATACTGCCCAAGTATTTGAACTCTTTGGTTTGCTTGATTTTGGCACTTCCAACATTTATATTCAGTGGCCTGTGTGTTCTGCTGATCTTCATAACTTCTGTTTTTTCTGTACTGATTCTCATATTATGTTGCAAACAGCTGTTGTTGAGAGTAGTCAGATGTTCCTGTAGATCATATTCATTTTGATACAGTATGCTTTGATCATCAGCAAAAAGTAATTCGTTTATAACATACACGTCTGGGTTTGCTTCTACAGTGATCTTATCCATGTATGTTATGAAAAGTAATGGTGACAGTACACATCCTTGTCTGACACCAGTTGTGACTTTGAACCATTCAGAAAGACCACTAGATGTTCTTACTGCACTTACACTTTTTTCATAGAGGGCTCTGATGTTGTCTAATAATTGACCCTGCACTCCGTAATCGTCAAGAATTCTCCACAGCACATCTCTGTCCACACGGTCGAATGCCTTCTCTTGATCTACAAAGACCACGTTCAGCTCTTTATCGTATTCGAGTGTCTTTTCACAGACTTGTCTTAATGCAAATATGGCATCAGTGCAACCTCGCCCTTTCCTGAAACCGAATTGTGCTTTACTCAGTAGAGGTTCAACCTTTGCTCTTATCCTACCTTCTAAGATCTTTGCATACATTTTCCCCACATGACTTAGTAAAGATATTCCTCTATAGGTTCCACATTCTCTCTTGTTTCCTTTTTTCTTCCAGATAGGTACTACAACTGATCTTTGCCAATCCACTGGTACCGTTCTCTCTGCCCATGCTCTATTGAAAATTCTCTCCAGCCAGGTGACTTTTCCTTAGTACCCGTTTAAGGTTGGATCGACCTTGGGGTAATGTAATTTTTAGAAGAGGAAATAAGCAACGCCTTGTTCGGATTTGAACTCCCGACCTTCGGATCCACAGCGTCTAGCCGCTAGACCACTGGGTTTTCCTGATGTAAGTTATGTTGCAAGCAAATGAAATATTTACGTTTAGGGGTAGGGGTGGGAGGGTAGACTAAAAAAACAAATGAAATAGATCAATTAGTTTTGTGTTGAATAATATTTAACAAGAGAAGCAGAGAAGAGCAGAGTGATATGTGAGGCAAGTTGAAACAACTAGACAGTCAAACACAAAATATATGCAATATCATCTTTAAACACAAAGCAAGGAGTGTTGTTGAAGAGTACTGGTCGCATGTGTTTGCTCCTAGCAGAATTGCCCCCCCCCCCTCTCCTCTTCCCCCCACCACCCTAACGTTGGCATCCTATAATCATCATTATAATCATGTAGCAGGTCCTTTGCAGAACGTCGCTCTCATCACTGTCTGTCTAAAACAAACTCGGTCTCTCACCAGCTCTCCCGCCTCATGAACTTTCATACTCAAGGAGTCACTTATATCCTGTGCCCATCTTCGTGTCGGTCGGCCCCTGCCCCTCCTTCCTGGTACCATGGCTTCTGCTATAGTTTTTTCCATTCCGTCATGGCGCTTGATATGACCAAAATATTTCAGCTTGCGAGACAGGATGCTGTTTTTTAGCCAATCTTTCTTGATGTTCAGATCTTTCAAGATGTCAGTATTTCTTCTCTTCTTTGTCCAAAATATTCTTTAGTATCTTTCTATAGCATTTCAGCATCATGTATCAAAACAGAATTGAAACAAATGCAAACCCGGAAAATAATGCGGGGATTGGGGCCTGAACCGCTCCAACCGCCAAATTTCCGGGCTCCTGTACGATAAAGTCACCAAACAGTTAGCGCTGTCTCCAGTGTCGGGGCTCCTGTACGATAAAGTCACCAAACAGTTAGCGCTGTCTCCAGTGTCGGGGCTCCTGTACGATAAAGTCACCAAACAGTTAGCGCTGTCTCCAGTGTCGGGGCTCCTGTACGATAAAGTCACCAAACAGTTAGCGCTGTCTCCAGTGTCGGGGCTCCTGTACGATACAGTCACCAAACACTAGCGCTGTCTCCAGTGTCGGGGCTCCTGTACGATACAGTCACCAAACAGTTAGCGCTGTCTCCAGTGTCGGGGCTCCTGTACGATACAGTCACCAAACAGTTAGCGCTGTCTCTAGTGTCGGGGCTCCTGTACGATAAAGTCACCAAACAGTTAGCGCTGTCTCCAGTGTCGGGGCTCCTGTACGATACAGTCACCAAACACTAGCGCTGTCTCCAGTGTCGGGGCTCCTGTACCATACAGTCACCAAACAGTTAGCTCTGTCTCCAGTGTCGGGGCTCCTGTACGATACAGTCACCAAACAGTTAGCGCTGTCTCCAGTGTCGGGGCTCCTGTACGATACAGTCACCAAACACTAGCGCTGTCTTCAGTGTCGGGGCTCCTGTACGATACAATCACCAAACACTAGCGCTGTCTTCAGTGTCGGGGCTCCTGTACGATACAGTCACCAAACAGTTAGCGCTGTCTTCAGTGTCCGGGCTCCTGTACGATACAGTCACCAAACACTAGCGCTGTCTTCAGTGTCGGGGCTCCTGTACGATACAGTCACCAAACACTAGCGCTGTCTTAAATGTCGGGGCTCCTGTACGATACAGTCACCAAAAACTAGCGCTGTCTCCAGTGTCGGGGCTTCTGTAGGATACAGTCACCAAACACTAGCGCTGTCTCTAGTGTCGGGGCTCCTGTACGATACAGTCACCAAACAGTTAGCGCTGTCTCCAGTGTCGGGGCTCCTGTACGATACAGTCACCAAACACTAGCGCTGTCTCCAGTGTCGGGGCTCCTGTACGATACAGTCACCAAACACTAGCGCTGTCTTCAGTGTCGGGGCTCCTGTACGATACAGTCACCAAAAACTAGCGCTGTCTCCAGTGTCGGGGCTCCTGTACGATACAGTCACTAAACAGTTAGCGCTGTCTCCAGTGTCGGGGCTCCTGTACGATACAGTCACCAAACAGTTAGCGCTGTCTCCAGTGTCGGGGCTCCTGTACGATACAGTCACCAAACAGTTAGCGCTGTCTCCAGTGTCGGGGCTCCTGTACGATACAGTCACCAAACACTAGCGCTGTCTTCAGTGTCGGGGTTTAAAGTCCAAACAATTAAAACACAATTTGGCACAACCTCAGACCATTCTCCTGGCGTCTGTGGTAACCTGGAGCCATAGTTAATTCACCTCAACAATTCAAGAGCTGGGGATTACCAGTTCAAGTTTGCCCGATATTTTTGAGTATCGCCACAAGATTTATTAGTTTCCTTAAAACCTAATGAGCGAATCCAATTTCCCTGTATTCTTTATTCGGCACATGTAAATCGTGAAATGTGCACTGTGATTACCCAAGTGCTTTTTTCTTTCTCAATCGATACAAAGCGCACTTAGTCTCTTCAAGCATTTCACTGTTTTCTCTACAGCGTCGTCCATCTTCCCATTTTCTCAATTTAACACGAAGGGATACGCGTCCGTTTAGTGAGATGGATCATCATCATCATCATCAGGTGCCTTGCCGACTGGCATGGGCGATCATGCCTCTCCATAATCCACGATCTCCTGCAGCATGTATCAGTTCGTGTGCCGACACACCTCTATGCCATGCAACAAGACTGTCAATCTTCTCTCGTTGTCTTCCTCTATCCCTCCTTCCACAAATCTTTCCAGTGGTCACAACATGTTCTATTTGCCTTCTTCTCATAATGCAACTATAGTGGCCACAACATATGCCATAGAGTTTGTCACATTGAAATACGCCTGACATGACATTAAGTATGTTGCTAACAGCATTTTTCCCTATCTTGTACGCTCGTGTAATCCAAATCCAAGCGAACGTTTGCAGATAAAACATGTTTGATTAAATATCGCTCACGGATCAAACTTGGAGGACGCCATGCCGTTGCCTGGCAGCAGCCTCAACCTTCAATCACGTGACAACATGGCGTGGAGTTCCGCTATTTAATGGCAACAGCAAACTGGTGTTTGAGAAAGATAGCGAATCGATCTCTAAAGTCCGGGCTACCCAAGACACGCTGAGAACAGGCATGTCTAGCACGGGGTGAACGGGGGGGGGGGGGGGGGGGCGCATTCTCTGACATTCAACATTTAGACACCATTATTGACACATTTCATCTAAACAATGAACAATGAGGCAATTTTCCTCCCTCTGTTTATATATTTTTTAAGGGTGCAATTTTTACTTATTTAAAGCCCCACCCTGGCTTTTGCCAGGGGCCGCAATATAGGCAGGCCATAAATATGACCAATTGTCTGAACGCGGTTTCTGGGACCTCTCCACGGTGATCCTCATCCACATGGTGGCACTTTGTGTCATCGAGTGTTTATCGCTTGTGTGATGTCCTGGTGGGGTAGAAAGTCAGTCAGTCAGTCCACCCTCTGTCACTTTTAAATCTAAATTTCAGTTTAGGTGGAAAAAAAAAAGGAAAGAGACCGGGGAAGGGGTACTTGTCTTTCAGTCAATTTGTCTTTATTATTAACAGCAACAAAGTGCCCCTTTTCATCTATTTCCCGTCTTTTCTTGTCGCATCTTTTATTCTGTGCTGTTTCCAGTTGTCTATGGTTCAGCAGCCAAAGGAAAGACAGATCTTTCACCCACGTTTATGGTGAACATTGGGTTCGCGAAGTGGTAACTAGGGCAGCTGAATGAAACCCATCCCCACCAAATCTTGTCTGTAAGTAAGCACAAGTAAAACACCCCTTTCCTCGCCTTCAAGCGTATTGGGCATATAGGGCTAGACCTGTATTTTAAAGTCTATCCAAATCGGCGCTTGGTGTCCCCCCAGGACTTTCCCTAGTACCAATTTAAGGCTGGGTCGCCTTGAACAATCTTGACCTTCTCCGTGTGTAACTACAGATGCAAAACGTCAACGCTCTGACACTTCCTCTTTCCCTACGCTGGGTCGCAGAAGCCGCCACCCTTCAGTGGCCACTAATCGATATCACTGGCGACAGAATCAAAGATTGATTAAAGAAAATTAACATTTGATACATTAGGGCACAATTAAATACCCATGCTTCTTGGTGACATGTCAACCAGTTGTGTACAGTCTCCATGGTTTCTTTCACAAGGGGAGAGAATTGCGCATGGGCTGTAACCATAATCGCACGATAGTTATATCCCTTCATATCGTCACCAAGACCGTTTGGTCAATTTGGTCAATTGAATCGTTTGTCCTCATCTTCTGTCATCCAATTTGCCAGTTGTCACAAATTTACGAAGTTTATTTTCCGTACATCATGCCACGACAAAGCAATAAAAAATACCCTTGGCTATCAAGTACGTGGTCTCAGCACCATTCCTTACGGCAGTACAATTTGTTGGACTTTCATGCACCAGCAGAAATAGTTAAAGAGCTTCACACGCAATACCTATCATGTAAAGGTTACACAACCAACTTCTATAAAGATGAAGAATTAGCAGAAATCGCCTGGGATATATTGAACCAAGAGTCTGCATACAGATAAACCATATACGCGAAACGGATTTGCACGCAACAATCAGGTTCTGGAACAAGACTTAAGTGTGGGGGTTGGGGGTGGGGGGGGGGGGGGAGTGGAGGAACACCTAGATCTTTCTGTCGGAGTTTACAGCCGGTGAACAAGAAGAAGAAGAAGAAGACGACGACCTCAATTGTTTGGGGGAGGGGAAGTGAAACCTATTATTATGTTAGCGTTTAAGGTTAAGCTTGCCAGCCTGGGTGTTATATTTGCATGGGTAATAGAAAACGTTCTCCACAGAGGCACCATCGTCCTCCCAGCTGCAGGCCCATGTCTGGCGGTGACCTGGTGATCTCTGTACCCACCAGAAGCCACCCCGACCCCCGCTACTACCCGGAGCAGCTGCAGTCCAGCCTGCAAGTGTTCCAGATCGGCAAGGGACGACCAACGACAGCCGGCTACAGGTCGTTGACTCCCACGGGAGCACGGCGACCAGCAAGTGACAGGTAGGGACACACTGGACGTTAATCGGTAGAGGGACACTAGGTGAGGTTTTAACCGGGACAGATCTATCATTTGTAGAATGCCTTAGTTCTAGGAATCTATCCGGTGTCTGCTAGTTCTAGGAATCTATCCGGTGTCTGCTAGTTCTAGGAATCTATTCTATTGTCGACAAGGATTATCGTTTTAATTCTTTTGTCGAGCGTGAAATTAACCCATTAATTGCTAGTTCTGAAAATCTATCCGGTGTCTGAAAGTTCTAGAAATGTATCCGGTGTCTGAAAGTTCTAGAAATGTATCCGGTGTCTGCTAGTTGTGGCAATCTATACGGTATCTACTAAATCTGGGAATCTATCCGTGTCTGCTAGTTCTGAGAATCTGTCTGGTGTCTGTTAGTTTTGGCAATCTATCCAGTGTCTGCAAGTTCTGGGAATCTATTCGGTGTCTGCTAATTCTGAGAATCTGTCGGGTGTCAGCTATTCTGGGAATGTATCTGGTGTCTGTTAGTTCTAGGAATCTATCCGATGTCTGCTAGTTATAATAATCTATTTGGTGTTTTCTAGTTATAGTTATCTATCCGGTGTCTGCTAATTCTAGGAATCTATCCGGTGCCTGCTAGTTCCGTGAATCTATCTGGTGTCTGTTAGTTCCGTGAATCTATCTGGTGTCTGCAAGTCCAGTGAATCTATCTGGTGTCTGCTAGTTTTGGGAATCTATTTGGTGTCTGCTAGTTCTGGGAATCTGTCCAGTGTCTGCTAGTTCTGGGAATCTATCTGGTGTCTGCTATTTCTGGAAATCTATCTGGTGTCTGCTAGTTGAAGAATTAATCTGGTGTCTGCTAGTTCTGGAAATCAATTCGGTGTCTACTAGTTCTAGGAATCTATCTGGTGTCTGCTAGTTCTGTGAATCTATCTGGTGTCTGCTAGTTCTAGGAATCTATCTAGTGTCTGCTAGTTCTGGGAATCTATTTGGTGTCTGCTAGTTCTGGGAATCTATCTGGTTTCTGCTAGTTCTAAGAATCTGTTCGGTGTCTGCTAGTCCTAGGAATCTATCCAGTGTCTTCTAGTTCTGGTAATATATCGGTGTCTGCTAGTTTTAGGAATCTATCCATGTTTGCTAGTTTTAGGAATCTATCTTGTGTCTGCTAGTTTTAGGAATCTATCTTGTGTCTGCTAGTTTTAGGAATCTATCTTGTGTCTGCTAGTTTTAGGAATCTATCTTGTGTCTGCTAGTTTTAGGAATCTATCTTGTGTCTGCTAGTTTTAGGAATCTATCTTGTGTCTGCTAGTTTTAGGAATCTATCCGGTGTCTGCTAGTTGTGGCAATCTATCCGGTGTCTGCTAGTTTTGGAAATTGAACACCCTGTCTGGGACTCTATGTCCCCTATCTGCTAGTTCTGGTACTCTATTCCCCCTCTCTGCTAGTTCGGGGACTCTATCCCTTTATGCTAGCTCCAGGACTCTTTTTTCCTGTCTGCTAGTTCTGGAACTCTGTTCCCCTGTCTGCTAGTTCTGGGACTCTGTCCCCCTGTCTGCTAGTTCGAGGACTCTGTCCCCCTGTCTGCTAGTTCTTGAACTCTATCCCTTTATGCTAGTTCTGGGTCTCTGTCCCCCTGTCTTCTAGTTCTGGAACTCTGTTCCCCTGTCTGTTAGTTCTGGAATTCTGTTCCCCTGTCTGCTAGTTCGGGGACTCTGTCCCTTTATGCTAGCTATGGGACTCTAAACAACTGTCTTCTAGTTCTGGAACTCTGTTCCCCTTTCTGCTAGTTCAGGAACTCTGTTCCCCTGTCTGCTAGTTCGGGGACTTTTTCCTTAATGCTAGCTATGTGACTCTGTCTCCCTGTCTGCTAGTTCTGGGACTCTGTCTCCCTGTCTGCTAGTTCTGGGACTCTGTCCCCCTGTCTGCTAGTTCTGGGACTCTGTCTCCCTGTCTGCTAGTTCTGGGACTCTGTCTCCCTGTCTGCTAGTTCTGGAACTCTGTTCCCCTGTCTGCTAGTTCTGGGACTCTGTCCCCCTGTCTGCTAGTTCTGGAACTCTATCCCCCTGTCTGCTAGTTCTGGGACTCTAACCCCCTGTCTGCTAGCTCTTGGACTCTAATCCCCTGCCTGCTAGTTCTGGGACTCTAACCCCCTGTCTGCTAGCTCTGGGACTCTGTCCCCCTGTCTGCTAGTTCTACGACTGTCCACTGTCTGTCTGTCTGCTACTCTGACTACCTATTCCTCTGACTGATTAGTTTCCTCGCTATCTATCCATCCATTGAATAGATGGCTATCTATCCATCTATTGTCTATCTAGCTATCTATCCATCCATTGCCTAACTGGCTGTCTGTCTATCCATTGCCTAACTGGCTGTCTGTCTATCCATTGTCTAGCTGGCTGTCTGTCTATCCATTGTCTAGCTGGCTGTCTATCTATCACTGTCTAACTGGCTGTCTGTCTATCACAGTCTAACTGGCTGTCTGTATATCACTGTCTAGCTGGCTGTCTGTCTATCCACTGTCTAACTGGCTGTCTATCACTGTCTAACTGGCTGTCTGTCTATCACTGTCTAGCTGGCTGTCTGTCTATCCATTGTCTAGCTGGCTGTCTGTCTATCACTGTCTAACTGGCTGTCTGTCTATCCATTCTCTAGCTGGCTGTCTGTCTATCACTGTCTAACTGGCTGTCTCTCTATCACTGTCTAACTGGCTGTCTGTCTATCACTGTCTAGCTGGCTGTCTGTCTATCCACTGTCTAGCTGGCTGTCTATCTATCACTGTCCAACTGGCTGTCTGTCTATCACTGTTTAACTGGCTGTCTGTCTATCACTGTCTAGCTGGCTGTCTGTCTATCCACTGTCTAGCTGGCTGTCTATCTATCACTGTCTAACTGGCTGTCTGTCTATCACTGTCTAACTGGCTGTCTGTCTATCACTGTCTAGCTGACTGTCTGTCTATCCACTGTCTAACTGGCTGTCTATCTATCACTGTCTAACTGGCTGTCTGTCTATCCACTGTCTAACTGGCTGTCTGTCTATCTACTGTCTAACTGGCTGTCTGTCTATCCACTGTCTAACTGGCTGTCTGTCTATCCACTGTCTAACTGGCTGTCTGTCTATCCACTGTCTAACTGGCTGTCTGTCTATCCACTGTCTAACTGGCTGTCTGTCTATCCACTGTCTAACTGGCTGTCTGTCTATCCACTGTCTAACTGGCTGTCTGTCTATCCACTGTCTAACTGGATGTCTGTCTATCCACTGTCTAACTGGCTGTCTGTCTATCCGTTGTCTAACTGGCTGTCTGTCTATCCACTGTCTAACTGGCTGTCTGTCTATCCACTGTCTAACTGGCTGTCTGTCTATCCACTGTCTAACTGGCTGTCTGTCTATCCACTGTCTAACTGGCTGTCTGTCTATCCACTGTCTAGCTGGCTGTCTGTCTATCCACTGTCTAACTGGCTGTCTGTCTATCCACTGTCTAACTGGCTGTCTGTCTATCCACTGTCTAACTGGCTGTCTGTCTATCCACTGTCTAACTGGCTGTCTGTCTATCCACTGTCTAACTGGCTGTCTGTCTATCCACTGTCTAACTGGCTGTCTGTCTATCCACTGTCTAGCTGGCTGTCTGTCTATCCACTGTCTAGCTGGCTGTCTGTCTATCCATTGTCTAACTGGCTGTCTGTCTATCCACTGTCTAGCTGGCTGTCTGTCTATCCACTGTCTAGCTGGCTGTCTGTCTATCCACTGTCTAGCTGGCTGTCTGTCTATCCACTGTCTAGCTGGCTATCTGTCTATCCACTGTCTAGCTGGCTGTCTGTCTATTCACTGTCTAGCTGGCTGTCTGTCTATCCACTGTCTAACAGGCTGTCTGTCTATCCACTGTCTAGCTGGCTATCTGTCTATCCACTGTCTAGCTGGCTGTCTGTCTATCCACTGTCTAACTGGCTGTCTGTCTATCCACTGTCTAGCTGGCTGTCTGTCTATCCACTGTCTAGCTGGCTGTCTGTCTATCCACTGTCTAACTGGCTGTCTGTCTATCCACTGTCTAGCTGGCTGTCTGTCTATCCACTGTCTAACTGGCTGTCTGTCTATCCACTGTCTAGCTGGCTGTCTGTCTAGACACTGTCTAACTGGCTGTCTGTCTATCCACTGTCTAACTGGCTGTCTGTCTATCCACTGTCTAGCTGGCTGTCTGTCTATCCACTGTCTAGCTGGCTGTCTGTCTATCCACTATCTAACTGGCTGTCTGTCTGACCACTGTCTAGCTGGCTGTCTGTCTATCTACTGTCTAACTGGCTGTCTGTCTATCCACTGTCTAACTGGCTGTCTGTCTATCCACTGTCTAACTGACTGTCTGTCTATCCACTGTCTAGCTGGCTGTCTGTCTATCCATTGTCTAACTGGCTGTCTGTCTATCCACTGTTTAACTGGCTCTCTGTCTATCCACTGTCTAACTGGCTGTCTGTCTATCCACTGTCTAACTGGCTGTCTGTCTATCCACTGTCTAACGGACTGTATGTCTATCCACTGTCTAACTGGCTGTCTGTCTATCCACTGTCTAACTGGCTGTCTGTCTATCCACTGTCTAACTGGCTGTCTGTCTATCCACTGTCTAGCTGGCTGTCTGTCTATCCATTGTCTAACTGGCTGTCTGTCTATCACTGTCTAAGCGGCTGTCTGTCTATCCACTGTCTAACTGGCTGTCTATCTATCACTGTCTAACTGGCTGTCTGTCTATCACTGTCTAGCTGGCTGTCTGTCTATCCATTGTCTAGCTGGCTGTCTGTCTATCACTGTCTAACTGGCTGTCTGTCTATCCATTGTCTAGCTGGCTGTCTGTCTATCACTGTCTAACTGGCTGTCTCTCTATCACTGTCTAACTGGCTGCCTGTCGATCACTGTCTAGCTGGCTGTCTGTCTATCCACTGTCTAGCTGGCTGTCTATCTATCACTGTCTAACTGGCTGTCTGTCTATCACAGTCTAACTGGCTGTCTGTCTATCACTGTCTAGCTGGCTGTCTGTCTATCC